ATCAGTCACAATCTACATTCAGTAATTATCTGATGAGAGTAATATACATTCATTTATATTCACTGCAAATGATTATTATATAATACTGAATATTGAAAAATCTTATATATAGAAACTTTAATACTTTGCTATTAAAAAATAATAACTGTATTTATAACCCATTTATATTTTCTGGAAATAAATTAGGAATTAAATAAATATTTAAAGGACTGGTCCCTGCAAATCTGTGAGTAATGAATGTAAACAGAGCTTTCAAATAATGAATAAAACCTAATTTAGAAACTTATAACATATTATTCCATAGGTTTTTGTGTGTAAGTATGACTTAAAGGAATGTTAAGTGTAGCAAATAAAATTTCCATTATTTCAAATAAAACGTGATTGCAAAAAGAGGTAGAGACACACTTTTTCTCTGAGTCTCAAAATGGTTTTGATATAAATTAATTGAAATGCTGATACTGTTGTGGACTGTTATGGCAGATATGTATGCCATATGAAACAAAACATATATAGAAAATGTTTATCCTGTTTTATACATAGAAAACAAAAACAAAGTTACTCTTGTGCTACTTTTATAGGCCCCGTGGCCTATTTTACACTTCATACCATTAAAGCAGGCCATGGTAGCTCTGACCTGATTCACTTGGTGCCTATTTGAATCATTTCGCCTGAGAAACATTACATAAAACTAAAAACGGTTAAAGACAAAAGCGAGGATCTTAAAACAGCACTCACTTAAGCATAGCACTATAACACTGACAAATATCGTCTTTTTTAATCCATACATTGTTCTCCCTGGTCATGCTCCTAGCATTAGTGAGGTCCAACACTGATGTTGGGTGATAAGGTCTGGCTAAAAGTTGGAGTTAAACCCAAAGGTGTTGGGTGTGGTTAAAGCCATGGCTCTAAAATATCATTATATGTTGAAGGATTGAGATTTCTATCAATTGGAATGAAGAGGTTTAGCCCAAACCATGAAAAATCAGGCCCAAAGTGCACAATTTATGTGCATAGTGCAAAGGTTTGTGGACACCCACAAACTTTTGGCCATAGTATGTGTGAACTTTCTGTTCATAAATGTGTCCAAATACACACCATGTGAATAAGGATGTCAATAAAGATAATTAAAAGGTCAAACCTTCAGATTTTCACACGGTTAAATACTTTTCATTTTTGTCTTTTGGCAGCATTTTACAGTTCAAAGTCTCTCAGGCTGTGCTTACTAGCAGCGGCCAAACATTACAGATCTGGCAACATTGAAGTGGCACATTGTGTGCCATGATTATGACTGGCTGTTGCCCTCAGCTTGCACATTGTTTTTGGACCCCCCGTTGGTCTGTGGGGACTGTAAGTGGTCAGGGAGCAGGACCTCAACAGAAAAGCTGATTCTTTTTGCCTGGAAGATGCTGTAAGTGTTGTCAAATCTCAGAACATCTGGGGAAGACAAACAGAATAGAACAGTTACTATTAAGCTGGATCTCCACACTGATATAATTACACATCATAAAGCCCTCTATGCTGAGTGTTACATGTTACTCACAGACTCCTGGGCGTTCACAGGTCAGTGATCCATCCTCGGGTACTAAGTGGGCGTTGTAGCGCTGGCTGGGCACGACTTCGTGCATCTGAGCTGCCTTCATCCATTCACCCTTTCTAGCCTTCAGAAACACCCCGAAACCAATGTCTGCACCCTCAGTAGCAAACTGCCACCTGCCAATCAATAAAACATTGCTTTATGACTTTTTTTGTGAATTTCATTGATTACAAATTCATTGGGCCAGGTGTAGCATTACCACCACACAGATTGGGATATTATGCCGAAAAGAAAAGATATGTATGCATCTGTTAAGCTTAATATGATTGACTACTGAGATTAGAATTCCAATTTTAATTGTTATAGTATGATTTAAGTTGGAAATTCTACTCCTGTTTTAATAATTAACAGTTTTAATAACTGAATTTAATCAGCCTCATCATTTGTTTACCACTTTAAAATTATTTTATCACATATGTTTTTCTTTTCCATTACAAATTCAGTTGTAATTTTGTTGTGTTATCATTTTCTGCAGCCATGCCTTCTAAATGCATTGAAATGTATGTGATTTTTGTATATATTTTTTTAGTTTATTTACTTAGTATATTTTATTTTTTTGTATATTTGAAAATTATGGCTATCGATGCTACTATATAACTACCTTTCTTTGTGTGCATAAGCCAGATTTCCACAAAAACAAAAAGGCTAAAGGCTTGTGGTACGTTTGGCTTTGTTATGCTTACTTCTACTTAATTTATAGCAAGTCGGTATTATTAGAAAAGTTATTAATAAAAACTTTTATAATTATTTTCACTGTTGACTAATCTGTAACTTGTCATCTCTAAGTATATATTTTTTGGCTTTTCATGCCTTTATTTGATAGGACAGCTGGAGACAGACAGGAAAGGGCCGCAGGTCGGATTCGAACCCTGGGCTGCAGCAAGGACTCAGCCTTGGTACATGGATCGCCAGCTCTACCCACTGAGCTAACCGGGCGCCACTTGTCATTTCTTTTAATGGATTAATTATTTAATTAAATGTCAGAAATAGTGAAAATTGCAGTTTTTTCTAGGCCTTAAGGACACATTTCCAAACTGTCTGACCAACAGTCCAAAACTAAAAGATATCTAATTAACAATGAGATAAAACAGTAAATGCAACAAATCCTCATATCTGAGTAGCTGGGATCAGTGAATTATGCTATGTATTAATGCTTAATAAATCAATTTAAAATCACTTAATAACTTTTTTTATTGCTGCCACTGTCAAAAAACTCCAGCTGACCTGAGAACGCAGCCCGGGAACAGGATCTCATAGTCCAGCTGTTGGGAGGAACCTCGGCTGACGGTCATACACTGCTCGTAGTCCACCTTAACATGGTCCCGCACATAGTAGGAGGTAGGAACTGGCCCGACATGGTTTATCTGCAGCAGAGACCATGCATAAGCAAAGTTATGGGTATGGGTGTTAAAAGGTTTTATATCATATATGAAATGATGAAAGTCTGGTGGCAGGAGAAATGAGAAAAAAGAGAAAGCTATCACTTACTGTGACTGTGTGACATTGTCTGAGTGCTTGTAATTTTACATGTTTTGCACAAAAAAGAGAAATGTTCTCCCTTTTCCACTTTTCTGTTTATTTACATCAATAAAATAAATAACAAACCAATCAACTTCTGTGGTTTCTCAGTACTGTACAGTGCAGTACAAGAACCAACCAACAGAGGGCAGTGATTTCCTCATGTGAGGTGTGATGAGTTTAATTCAGTGTCATTAACATTATGTATATTAAAGATGGCAGACACAGCATACACACATATACACACACACATATAATTTATCCTTATAGACTTTGGAAAGCCTGTCAGTTGAAGCAAGAATAATTGCTGGAAATATTCAGAAAGACCTGTCTTGGATATGAACATTATTATATGAGAAGTCAAACTCATCTGAAACCACTTCTCTAAAAATCTTGCAGACCTGTCAGACGTTACAGAACTGTTGTTGGGAAACTTTCACTGACAAAAAAAATAAATGCAGAAACAAAGGCATTACTACAAGAAAAAAACAACACACATTGTCATATAGTCCATTAGAGAGTAGAACTTCAGGCATCTCCTCATTTTGATTCTTTACATAGATTGTGCAGAGATATGACTGAACGAGACGCGTAAGGCTCAACAGTTTTCAAAGGAAGCAGATCACCAAGATTTAATGTCAAACGTTATCTTTGCTGCTGCATAGATCACTGCAATTTAAAACACACAGGATCCTCCTACAACATTCTCAGAGAATATTTCCTGTAAAAAAAAAATACAAATCGAAAAATAAAAATTCTCAAGATTGTTTTAAATAATAACCGCCAATAGAAGGCCCTAAAAATGCAGGAAATTGCACATGCACTGGACCAATGTTTCTTTGAACTCTTTTGTTACATACAATCTACAAATTGTATGCTATACGTGCATTTCAGACCCATTAATGATGCCTAATTCTTCTTCAATAGTTTGACATTTTGGGAAATACACAATGTTATACTTAGCTTAGCACAAAGACTGGAAACAGGGGGATAAAGCTAGCCTGTCCAATAGTAACAAAATCCACCAGCCAACAAACCAAAGTGTAAACATTATTAACTTTATGCAGAGATAAGTGCTGGACTATTTCTTGGCAGACTTCCATGGCAGCTGTTTCACCCCGACTTCCGGTCTTTATGCTTAGCAAAAGCCAGTTGTCTCCTGGCTTTAGCTTCAGATTTACTGTACAGATGTGAGAGTGCTATCAATCTTCTAATCTAACTCTCAGTAGGAAAGCGAACAAGCATATTTCTCAAAATGTCAACTCTTTCTTTGTTAAGATAACTCAATTCCTACAACCTAACCAAAATAATACAGTAAAATGTCAAGGACACACAGCTAGCTAGCTAAAAAAGTGTATTTAAAGGTCCAGTGTGTAACATTTAGGAGGATCTATTGGAATGGTAGATAAATTAAATGTATAAAGAAATAAGAATTATTTTTAGGTTTCTGTTATACTATTGGTATATAATAAGAAAAAAGAAAAGAAAAAATAACAGAA